CCAACAGAGCAAACCCAAGTCCCAAACTCCACACTTTCAGTCATTTTTGTTTAAAACAGAGAGCCTCTGTATGATTAGGTAATCTTAAACCTTTGGGTCACAGCTGATATAAAGAGGGGGTCATTGTTTTTCATCAAAAAAAGAAAATAAATTTAAAAAGAAATAAATAAAAAAGAAATTTTAATTACATGACTTGAAGATAATTACAAACACAGATGCTGATTTTGGAAAACAAATAAACTTAAAGTTGAAGCACCCTCCACTTGTCCCTGTCCCCTCCATTCACACACATTTGGTACACACATTTGGCATTTTAAGTCCTGATTCTCAGGTGAGGTGTAAGAAGAGTCTCAATAATTAGACAACAAGAAGCCAGACAATTCCAGAAAAAATGCATTTTCCCCCACTGCCTGTTTTATAATATACAGAGACAATAAATGGCAAACACAAGGAGGAGCTTAACAATGTGGGTTAACTTCCCACATTCCCTGGCGAGTCCCACACCATGCTGCTTTCACAGCTCCTGTCCCTTGTTTTGGTAAAGCTGATCAGCTAAGACAACTACAGCCCCCTCTGTTTCGTTTTCATCTCCAGTCAGGGCTGTTAGATTTCTTTCAACACAAACTCCGTGAGTTTTCAGAGCCCTATCAGGTCGAGAAGAAACTGATTTTTGGAGATGTACTTTAAAAGGCAAGTAAGTATGGAAAGCCTGTATCAGTAACAGTAAGAAGAGAAACAGTAAAACCACTGTTTCTCCTTGTTAAGTATCAGCTTAGCCTTTGCCATATATGCCAAACTATTTGCCATGACTAATGTATATAATGGGAGTACATTTCATATTTTATCTCTCCTGAGAGACTTTGAGTTGGGGAGGGGAAAAAAAAAAAGAAAGGAAAAGGAAAAAGAAAATCCCACACTACTCAAAACAAACAGATGATGCAAATAAAAACCCCACGTTTAACATAATGGGCTACAGTTTAAAAAAAAGATAAACTGGAGAAAATTTTTCTCAACAAGTTTTCTCCTTGCTGCTATAGGGAAATAAAGGACTCAAAGCACTCAGCACCAGCCTACTTCCTCCTCTCTGCCCCCAGAACTGGCACAAACTGATGACAACTTGGGCGCAGATGTTGGAAATTCCATCTTCCTTCCAGAGGAGCTTAAAATCTCCAGGGCACAACCCCTTAGGAAAAAAAAAAAATAATTTTGCCTTCCCCCCCCCATTGTTTTAAGGTGCCTTTTATTCAATTTGTAAACCAAACATATATTCCTATATCAACACAGGGAGTTTTTAACTGCTCCATCTCCACTAGACAGATGTGACCCATGACAAATAATTAGAACCAAAAGCACAAAAAGAGTTGGATTTCAATACAATGAGGTCTCCTATAATTGCAGAGTTTACTCATGACAAATGTTTTCAGCATGAATTCTCATAGAAAGCACTCTTCATGCAACATCTCTATAGTTAACCCACAGCCACCACTCAGTCCTTTTTCTCAGTTATTTCCAGCTAGTTGCTCTGTCAGACTGCAATGAATCACACACCTGGAATTATTAATAGGAGTCTCTACTCTCTCATGCTGCTTAGTCACTCCAGCCAATCTAACAGCAGGTACTAAAATTCATCACACACTGACCTGTCATGTAAAACTTACATTTTGCAATGCAACGGAAAATTATAAACAAAACTTTCAAACCATGTAAATTTTCTTGTAAGAGCAGACTTACCGAGAGAGGGGGGAAAACCCCAAGGCAACAAACAGCTCCAAACACACATTGGTCTTTGCAGAGATATCCAATACGTGTTTCACTTGCTGACACTACAGACCCTATCCTGCATTTCCACTCCTTCCACACAACAGCATCAGAAACCAGTTATGAACACTGGCCAACATCATTACAACCGTTCTTCTTGTCAGTCTTCTGCTTTATTTCATACATAAAGGTATGTTTTTGTAAGTCATCCTCTGAAGCATGTAAATTCAGGTTTCCTTTTCCGAGCAATTTCTCATTCTCAGCTCTACAGCTTGAGGGCTTTGACTGCAATAACGCTTTTAGTTTTGGAAAATAAGAAGTATTTTCCCATCAAACATCACAACAACCTGCATAGACAGAATGCTTTAACTCTGTAAATCTTATCATTGGACCTCTACTATCAACACAACTGACGTAGCCACTGAGGGGGGAAAAGTACAACATGTAGAGAGCATATTTCAATTTATATTTTATTGTAGTTGAATGCTATCAGCAGAGAATTTCAAACCTAGTTTGAATACTAGTAATACTTTTATATTAAAATTATATTATAAATGTTAAAGCAGAGGGGCATTTAAAGGATATAGTACATGCTACCTGTGTTGCATGAGTTCAGCCAATGTTACTGCTAAGATATTTCAGATCTCCACTTTCACTAAATTTTAATCCTTGTTCAAAGCTCAGCACTCACAATGAAGTTTTATCAGCTGCCCACATAGGAAGCCGTTTTTTAAAATTACGTTGCTCTTCACCTAACATCTGTAAATCTTCCTAACAAAACTACTGAAGGGGAAGAAAGAAGAAATCCAGAAAGCTTTCAAAGTTTAAATGGGATAATGAAAAATGTATATTTTATACGATATTATAATTAAAGACTTCAAACAGGGAGGTGTTTTGTTAAACACCACAGAATATTCTGATCTACTTGGCTCTGAATTAGTATTCTGCAACTGCACATTTGTTTACTGCAGCTCAGAAAGCAAAAAGATGGCAATTCTTGAAAAAAGTCAAGAAAAACAAAATGCTCAGAAAACAAGATCAGTGTTTTCTTTCCTGTAATGAAACCATTACTTCATTTTGTAGAAGAATCACTGCTTTCATTACATTGTATTTTACCAGTTGTAATACCTGTTCTAGCATGTCAGAAATAAATTTGGAAGAGCAATTCTGGATATTCCCCAATATCTCCCTTTCAATTATTCACTGTATATTCAGTTTAGACTATAAAATACCAAGTTATTATTAGAAAAACAAAGTACAATTTGCCTGCATTTCCAATTCAATGTATTTATTAACTGACAGGTAAACAGGGGCACACCAAATTACGCCACACGGTTACAAAACTGTAAGATCAAGTTGCAAGACCTTAGATGGAGACGTTCGATGTTTGCCACCCTACATCACATTAACATGACAAAGAACACTCAGAACACAGCATCTCTCTCAAATATTTCCATTAAAGGTAGGGTCAAATGGAAACCATTTCAAGTTTTCCTACCTATAATCTGCTAGGAAGCATGACTAGCAAGAATGTGATGCCCTCATACATAAAACACACCACATCAGAAATACAATTGTGAAGTATTCTCAAGAGATCTACCTATCTGACTTGCAATAAGCAGCCACATAGTCTTGGTAATTGTGAGAAAATGAGGGTCAACTTTAGAGGCTGTAGTTTAAAATTTAAGACTGATTTTGAGTAAGTGTCAATTACTCTGTGGTTGCACAATAATCCACATGTACCACAGCAACAGGCCAGTGGACTTAGGAAGAGACAATTAGTATTTCAATTTCAGTGCAAATCTCCAAGTCTGTATTTCCAATCAGAAATAAAAATGTAGGTAATAAGAACCTTGAACGTTTTCACGACTAAGTTAAAAACCATGATTTAAAAGCAAACAGACTAAAAGAAAATCAAGCATCAAATTTATGGACCACATTCCGCTGAAAGTTTGAAGGTCCAGTTATTTACATATTTATAAAAGCTGATGTGATTCCCAATTCAAAATAACGTTCATACTTTAAATTCGCAGTAACATCAACACATTGCACTTCAGTATTTCTGTACGTGTGTGTATTTTGCAGATGTGAGAGAATTGAAAGCATTTCCTCCATTAATTACATTGTTGGGTTTTGTTAAGAAGGTGATAACTGAGATGCCTAAGCCAGCGCCTTTGCTGAAGGAGTTGTTGCAGGAAAGCAGCTCCAGCCCAGCGTCAAGGCCGTGGCAGCTCCTCAGTGTTTTGTCGTACTCGCGCTTTGCTTGAGGGCCGCACACGGGCTCAGTCCACTTGGCGGTCTGGGATGTGATATCGAAAGCGGTTCTCAACCTTCACCACTACGCAGCACCCAGTGTCCTGCTCGTCAACTCAAGCAGCAAATCTTAAAGTAATAGAAGGCAATTCTAATAGCTCCATAGCCGGGTATTTGTTAACAGATTAAAAGCCCTTACCTCCTCTAATACATTATGACTGGGGAAAAAAATCAGACACAGTGCACTTAACCACCTTGAATCAGCACAGATCATCAGCTTAGGCCTTACTCATGCTTCACCTATTAGCTACAGAGCATTCGGTTTGTCTTCAAGCTTCTGATTTAGCCAGATAAGTATCACTGGCACCACTACATCCGTGTAGCAGAAGTGCTTTTTCCCCTCTTTCTGGATGGAAAACGAAACAGCAAAAACGCCACTCGCATCACTGCACTCATTAATAAGACTTCCAAACCCGCACAGGTTACTTTTTCCGTGACAGTTTTGCAGAGATGCGATCGCTTCTGGCACCCCACGAGCCCCTCGCTCCAGGCCTGCCCGGGGCACCGCAGCAGCGGAGCGGCGGCCGGGCAGGCGGCACACACCGCCGCGGGGCAAGCCACGGAAACTTCCCCGGCCCAGCTCCCGGGCGCGGAAGACGCGGTGCCGGGGCGCACCGTCGGGAAGCCGACACGAGCTTTTCGGCCAGAAAACTTCTGAGGGCAGCGAGGCCACTGCCGGTCTTTAGGGGAGTCCGTGCCCCTAACAGCGGGGACGGGCCCGCCGCCACACGCACGGCGAAGCGAGGCTCAGCCCCGCGGGGCACCGCTCGGCCAGGGCCAGGGCCAGGGCCGGTGCCGGGCCGACCCTCCGCCCGCCCGGCTGTCAGTCTGGGCGCGGGGGGAGGGAAGGGGGGCACCGCCACCGGGGAGGGAGAACGACCCGCGCCTGCCCGCCCTCCCGGCGCGGCGGAACGCGGGGCGGCTCTTACTTGTGGAGGAGCTGGGGCAGGCTGGGCGGCGGCGGCATCCCTCGGCTGGGGGCCCCGCTGCGGGCATCGCTCTCCGGCGGGTCAGCGCCGCGGGGAGCCGGGGCCTGGCTCATGGCAGCGGCGGGGACCATACGGGGCGGCCCCTGCGGCGGGAGGCGCGGGTGGCCGCGCAGCCCTCGGCCGCGGCGGCGGGAGGGAGGGTGGCAGAGAGAAGGGAGGGAGAGGGCAGAGGACCGGCCCTGGAGACAACCGCGCTCCCCCCGCGCCCCCCCGCCGGGCTGGCGACGGCGGGACAGGCAACCCCCTGCGACTGAGCCCGCCCTGCCGGAGGGCTGCGGCCACCGGCGGGGGCGGCCAGTGCTGCGCGGAGCCCCAGAGGCGCTGGCGGGGCCGGAGGGAGGGGCGGGCGGAGCCCCCGGCCCGGCCCGGCCCCACCTGGGCGCCGGGCCCGTTCCCTCCCTCCTCCTCCCGCACCTGCCCGATGGGAGGAACCCACGCCCCGCGACAGCCCGGCGGCTCTGCCCTTGTGCCCTAGCTGGGGCAGCGTGGCTCGGGCGCACCTGTTCGAGGCAGGGTGGCTCGGACGCACCTGGCCCTGCCCGGGATGGTCCCGGGGGCCGCGCTTGGCAAAGGACGGGCTGTACAGCAGAGTGAGCAGTACCAGCCCCTTCACACCCCGGCAATAATTTACAATCATCAAACGCCAAAGGCAAGGGGAAAAGCGTGTGTACTGTTCTAATTCCTCTCTGGTAGCATCTCTGAAGGAATGTAATCAGTCATTTATCAGACATAGGCTCTGTCGGCTGATATGAAACAGGAGAGGAGAGTCAATTAATAAACCTTCTCGAGTAGCAGGTAATCTCTACAGCAGACCCCCTGTCTGGGCCCAACCACGATGGGCTTTTAATAAAGGATGTTGATCCTGGGCTCCCCTGGCTTCCAAACACGTGTTAGCACGATCAAGACCTACTCAGGAAGGCTTTACCTGCTGCTGTAATAACACAGGACTAAGGAGTGGAATTGCTGCCTGATGATACAATGTGACAAAAAAAGTTTTACCTGTGCACGTTTTGGGAGGAAATTTCAGACGACCGATGGAGCAGAAATTGCACTCTTGCATTAAACAAGTAATACTGAGAATGTTTCTTCTGGCTCTTGCTCCCTTTGTAACGTGCTGTTTATTAGAGAGGAACAAGTCAAAGACCATTTCAGTACTTGCTCCTGCACTACCTCTGCTTACCACACACACCCTCCTCCCAGCACGCACCCACACATACACCCCGAGGAAAGCAGAAACATCCTGGCTTCTTTGAAAAATTAATCCTAATTCAGGAAGACAAATTTTGAAGGGGTCAGGTTCTCCTCCCCTGCACCTGGCACAGTCATTTATAAATATGTAGCCTTCTAAATGGGAACAAAATGCCACCTCCGGTGACTGGAAAATTTTAAGTTAGTTGCATTAATCACGTACTTTACACTTTGCAGATGGAGAGCACCAACCAGGTGCAGGGCAGTGGAGAATTGGGCCAGATTTCTGTTGCACACTTACTTAATGGTAATGTAACACCAAATTCACCTTCTAAAAATGAATAGCCATCAGTACTTGTTTAGACACATTGACTTACACTATATTCTGAGAAATACAAAAAATGGAGCTTCACATCCTTTCCCACAAGGAAATACAATTTGCAAATTATGTGTTTTCTGGTTCAGTGGAGTGGTCAACACAAGATGCCTGATCTTCTAGCAAAGGAAAGGTAATGTCTCACAGACAGGTGAGGCAACTCATGGGAAAAAATGTTTAACTTGTGGGACCATCTCTGCCCAAGGTTTAAAGCAAATCCAGGTGTCCACTGATCATCCACAGAAAAGTGGCTTTGTGTGAATTTCCTGAGTAGCAGTGAAAACCCTTGAGACCAAGCAACAGCCAACTGCTGCCTGTAATTATTTGAGGAAGTGAAAGATGGTGACTCATGGCTCAGAGGGCAACAGGAGCACAGCTATGACACTAATGCACGGCCCTGGATTAGGAGGTGGATAGTCACAAGAACGTGTTACTTCACACAGACATATTACATCACTTGTAATAATGGATCAAGTGTGTTTTACTAGGCATTACTATTTCTGCACTTAACACATCCACTGTACAACTCAGCATTCAGTCTCAGCATGGGGTCCTAAAACTCTGCAAATATTTTCTCCATTTATTTTAACTGTTCTCATCCCTATGTCTGCTTCATGTCGAGTTTTTTTGGTTTTGGTTTTTTTTTGGGGGGTTGTTTTTGTTGTTTTTTAGTTTGGTTTTTTTTCCCCCTCTTTTTCTGTCATATCCCAGTGTTTGGCTTGGCATGATCTGGTGTGTCACAAGCACTGACCCCTGGTCCCTGCCTTACCATAAGACAGTAGCAAAGGCTCACTCAGAGGTTGTCCTACACGGAAATAAGTGGGTGGGTATGAGCAGGCACAGACTGACCGATGTTCATGGACCCTCTTATTCAAGAAATCAATATAAGCAGTTTTCTGGCCAAGCCTTACAGTATTTCTGGAGCACTGCCATAAGAGAGAAACAACAGTGGCTGCTCCAAAAACCACACTTTTAGGGTCTGGGTTTGGCAGTAGAACTGAACAAGTGCTAACAGCTACACAAGTCCTATTCTCCTAATATGGAACATAGTTATGCACATGGAGAAATCAGAACTGTAGGTTTTTTCCACTTGGCTAGAGACATATTCTGTGTTTGTGTAACTGTCAGCTAATAGAGATTTTGTTAAAAATATTGGCAAAACACTGACTTTCCTGTTGCTGACTTCGTATGTATTAAATATCTACGATTTTAGATTAAAACTGCTATTTTTTTTTAAGTATCTATGCCATGAGTATTAATGACAGCTTATGCAAAAAACACTCCTGGCTAATAATTTCAGCTGAGATTAATATGTTTACTGCATTTCCCAATACAATTATATAATCCCCACCTCTTACAGTGCCTTTTTGGAGTTTCCAGTTGTAGCAGTCTGCATGCTAAAACTGAAATCCTGATCAAACTGCTGTTGTAACTTGCATGAGGATAAATCAGATGCAGCTCTCTGGTGTAAATGAACTCACACCCAGAATATTCCATTTTTAGGAGCAGATCAAGAAAGGCACAGGCAGAACCTGGAGAAAAAGCCAGGGATCATAAAGTAGGACAGTGATGGAGCCAGGCACACACAGATATTGGGTCCCCAAATAGTTCAGCATCAAACAACAAAAACAGCAATGATTTCATGCTTTAAGAGCTTATTTAACTGTAGAGTTACACAGTAGCAAGGAAACACAACTAAGAATAAAAGATGTCAATCTGCCTATTTGACTTTGCCTATTTGAACCTTTCATTGGTTCATACCTAAATCTGTTATTCTGTGACCTGAAATTTAATCCTTGGATAATTAATTGACTTAATTTTAATCTTCTGAAAAATTAATATATAATCAACTCTTCATTACCAGGGAAAAGAATCAGTTGGAAAAAAATGAAAGATGGAAAACCTAGATAATGTGAGTACCTCACGGCCAGGGCTGGCCCAGCCATGCACATTGTGCCCTGGTGTAAATGTCCTGCTCACTTAAGCTGCAATAAGCAGCACCAGTTTAGGTGCCACTGCGTGTCTAACATGGTTTATTCCCAAAGTGGGTAAGGCACCCAGATACAATGGAGAATAAACTCTGGTTTTTACTGGTACTACTGTGCACAGGTACTTCAATTCATATTTATAAAGTGTGATCTAGATAGTGTTGTGACGGTTCTGCAGAAGCAATAGTCATTAAAATACAAACATGATTTCATGTAGAATGAGATGTCATCTCTGAAATAGGACTGAAGTAACATAAGTATCCAGTTGCAGGAATAAAAGACTTCATCTAGGAAGAATGGCAACATCGTACTCCTTAACAGACTGTGGAGAGAGGTAGAAAAGCACTCTCTTACTCAACTTCCAAAACTAATGAAGGAAAATTCAGGCTAAAAAAATTAAAAACACTTCAGTCAGTTTATGGTTATCAGTGTATCACTTTTTCCCAGGTTACCCCGAATCCTCTTTCTGGAGATTGCTGTACATGTTTTCTTGTTCTCTCTGATCATTGTTTGGATAGAGAAGCTGAAGACTGAAGCAGAAATTTCCAGTGCCTGGGTATGTGAAATTTGCCTTCTGGGTAAGTCTCTATTTACTATTATCAGCTTCTCCTGAAAAATATTTTAGTCAGCACCACTTTTGACTTTTTTCTTTTCAGTGATTTTCTTTTCACTGGAAGTGAATGGCAACAGGTGGCCACAACTGGTAGGTTCTTTTGTCGTTACTCTGGCTTTGCATTTTCCTGCACCTGTGTGGGCTCTGCTGCTCATGACTGCATGTCATTGAAATGGTGGTGTTCAGAAACCAGGATACATTTATAAAGGAGCAGGTAAAATTTAAAGCCTGCAAGTTGCTTTATAAGCAAACAAACAAATTTTTCTTTCAAAGTTTTTGAAAGCATGAAGTTTCCCAATAGTTTGAAAGAAAAATACAGGCGAGATCCAGTCCTTTAGAATTAGGTGGTTATAGAACAGATGATTTTGTAGGAGAACAGAATCACCTGTAGAATTTGATTAAACACATGTTAGGAGCAAAATAATCAACCCATGAGTAACCAGAAAATGAAGCTTATGAATGATTCACTAAGAGATACAGCTTGGTTCCAGACTTCTGAAAGGTGAAAAACAAAACTCAGGAGCTAGACTGACTGCTGCAGTGTGCAGATCCTGCCCTTTCAAGAGTCAAGGACATCAAGATGCTAAAGGATAAACTTTAGAAATAAGCTATCAGACACTCAGTCATGGATAGCTGAGACTTTCAAATATGCTGGGACAGCCAGCTAATGAAAGGCAAACATCGCAGAATTTTAAGCCCGATGCAGAACAATGTGGAATAGACTAATTATGTCTTTTTGCAAGTACTGTGGTAAGCTGTGTATTCCCTCAGAACCTTGAGCCAGTGACAGTATAATCCTCAATCCACATATTATAAATTTAGAAAATACTGGAACGTACAACTGATCATACCTAGGAAGTATACACACTCTTTGATCCCAGAATACAGGCTTATGTCATTAATGGCTTGTATCATGCTCTTTTCTAGCTGCAGGAATGGCAAATGTTTACCATTTTAACTATATTATCCAACTGCTTAAAGAGCAGCAGAATGTAATTAAAGAAAACATAGTGGCAACAGTAAAAAATGAATGTTAAACTACTCTGAGGAAAAAAAAGGGCTTTTGAAAAAATATCCTTGATGCTACTCTCATCTCTTCAGTTATCTGAGATAACTGAATATAACTGATATTCAGTTATCTCAGATAACTGAAATATGCATGTTAATAACCTGACTTATCTTTCTGTGCCTTCACTATTACATAGTTCCATTCATATCATGGTGTAAGTGGTCTGCTTCCAGTCATCCTCACTTCTGGTCCTCATCCTTCATGGCCCCATAAGCACAAGAGAATTAACAAGAATTGCTTATTTATTTGTTTACCCCACTCCCTTCTAATGTGTGCATGGGGAGTATTTCCTCTTATCACCAAAGTGGTAGGTAATAACTATGACATTTTCACTATTAATAAAAATACCCATAATTGATATATTTAGTAAAGATTTTACTTCAGTAATTTTTAATTTTAAAGATATAATATTAGAAGTAATAGCCACACCTTAAAAAGCTTAATTTGTCAAGCCTTTAAATACTAACTCTTCTTTATGTGTATGCAAGTTCTAAGGGTATATGCACAGGTGGAGGTAAAGTCTAAACTTCATGGTTTCTTTACCCATGGAAAAACACTGATTTTTGCATAACTGTTCGTTTGATAATGATAAATACTACTGACACACAAAGACAAACCAAGTATAAATTAGATTACAAAGCAGGGTCTTTTAATATTTTATATGAAGACAAGTGATTTCTGGAAGTCTGCTTAAGTAGAACAGCACCAAAGACTGCACAATTTACACCCCTATAAGTGATGTTTGGTTATAGTGAGGATATGGTGGTCTGTTCCTGGGACCTCTCACTCGTGAAAGATGTTCTGCAGGACTGAGTTTTTGACAGACCACATGCGCGAGCCCCGCCTGCTGGCATGAGCTGCCGAAGTGCCGTGACTCTGGGAGGCTGCGGAGCCCGCGCAGAGCCAAGGCCAGAGCTGCACTGCCTCCTGACGGAGCGAGGCACGGCTCCTTCCCCCTTGTCCGCTGACAAATTGCACAGCTGTGGTGTTACATGTCAGCACTTGCAGTGCGGATCTCCGGAGACAAACCAGGAATGTTCTGCATGCCAGACAGTGGCGCTGAGCCATTACATTGAGACAACCTTCTTGAGGGAACCGTGGGCCCTGAGTGAACAAGAGTGGGGAATCCACTGACATTCTGACCTGCGGCCATGTAACCACAGGCAGTCTAGTGCAGCGAGGCCAGCTCTACAGTTGAAAGAAAAGAAGTCTTGTAAAAGTGTGCCAAATCCATGTAGCATTTGCTACGTAGATACTCCAGTGATCTCAAACAACTCTCATGGCATTTAGATAAGATAGGTGAGACTATGTGTCCCTGAAGTCTGAGATATGCTTTCATCAACATTCACGGTGAGCCTGAAGTTATTTGATGATGTTTATCATCATCTGGAATACTTCCAGTGGAAAACATGATCTTGCTGATCTGGAATCTAACTCAGGTCCTGCAATCTATATATTCAGGGTAACAGTCAACAGCGAAATGCACATTGACATTTAATGCAGAGAAGCAAAGGACTCTGAAGTTACCTGAAATGATCTGCTCACCTGTTGAGGTCATCTTCTAAAATTAGCTTTTCAGTTTAGAACCTACAGTTCTTTTTTGTTTCACTGAACTACCACAGCTGCTAACCTTTCATATGCTTCTTCCCCTTAGAAAATCTACAAGGACTTTTAAAGTTATTTCCCTATTAGGAAGCTGAAGAATATGCAATACATAGGATTGTAAAATAAATTTTGTAAATAATTATCACAGGGACTGAAAAATGAAACAGCAGTATTGAAAGAAAATTATGGAGGGAAAAACCCCAAAATGCTATTGTAACCATGGAGGAAAACACATAACTGTTATTACTGTCAAATTAGTCAAATTAGTTTATTGAAATGTGCCATCTAGGATAGGGAAAGACTAAGAATAAAAGACATTTTGACTTGAGCTCTGGAGGGCTTCTCCTTTGTTACTTCCCACTTTAGTAGTGAGTTTACCTCTTTCTTTATCAGCAGCTTGTGAGAAAGGGCATAGAAAACAAACAGCAAAGATAAATACTGGGGTAAAAAGAAACATGAATTGAACAGCACCAACTCATGCTCACAGATAACACAGCAAAATCTCCATCATAGAAAATAATCTTAAAAGAGAACTAGTAGCATCCTGTAGATGAGGCTACAAGAAGATGAATGCATAGCTTCTTGGAAACCACTCACAGCTGGTATGAGTAGTCTGCTGTCAAACTAGAAAGGCGTATAATTTGGAAATCTGGAAGGGTTAATTCCTTTTCCTATATTGTTATTCAACGGGCTGGGTAACAGAACAGATCACACGTCTGAAATGTGCCTGTGGGGTAAAGTGCTATAGGCAAATTGGAGCACAGAAAGAGTCTTCAGAACAATTTGGAGAGATCAGAGGAACTGTGAAGAACACAGGATTCAGCTGAGGAAGGACAGGTGTTAAGTCCTGTACTTAGGAGAGGAAAATATTTTCTGGGAAAGTACAGGATGAGGAATGACTAGACAGAAAACAGTTGTTCTGAACAAGACTTGGGGGTATTACAGAGGATCACAGCTGAACATGAGTCAACAATATCATGCAAGGAAGGCATCCATCAACCTAAGCTATATAAATAGGAGTTTTGTCTGATGTAATTCCCTTATTTTTCTTGGTGGTGATAAGGCCTCAGTAAGAACACTACATCCACTGTGGCAGTGATACTTTCACTAGAAGATCAATTGAAAAATTCAGAAGAAAGGATAGGACAAATCAAAAGCCTACAAAATAAGAATCACAAAAAAAAAAAAAAAAAAAAAAAGGATGATGGAAAGGACATTGTTCAGTCAAGAAATGAAAAGACTGAAAGCAGAAAATAACATTTAAAGAGAATGGAATAAATTGGTTTTGATCCCCAGGGTGAGGAAGATAGAGGAAAGTGGACTTGAATCACAGAAAGAGAAGTTCAGATTAAACCTGCTAATCACAAATCAGAGAATATGTCAAATTTTGAAACACTTGACGTAGCAACTTTAAAATAGGTTGCACAAACCATCTGTCAGGAATGAATTAAACATGATCCAATTTTGGGTCAAGAGGAAGGATTAGGTACATCTATGTGTCCCATCATCCATGATTATTAAAGCAAGCAAACTCCGGAATGGCAATGAAAAATCCATTGGAAAGCAAGAAGTGCAAAAGTTAATATAACTTATGTAATTTGCAGGTCCAGCAAGTCTTCATAGTCCCTACAGGTTCATGGTTCAGGTGGCTTGAAGATGACCAACAATTTATATTAATAAAAGGCACAACCATGCATCTAAAGAGGGTCTTGTAAGTGATACAGTCAAAGTATGGAAGAAGAAAAGGCTGTTTTCTTAGAGAGATAGAAGCACAGATCACAAAAATATTTTGAATGTTTGTATTTGTTGCTAGTGAAAGGGAAGTCACACAGTGTCTCTAAGGAATTAATGCATCACTCTCCCAGACACAGAAGCTGTTGCAAACACAGGCTCTAAACAGAAAATAAAGTTTCACACGTGGTGTGACCCTTAAATTCAGCCCCATCCAGGAAACCCTGAACCAGAGCCTAAGGAAAACTTAGTTTAACTGAAGCTTGTTTAAATCCAAGTTATTAAATATTTTGGCTGGCTAAAAGGCAGTTCAAGTAGTCTTGAAGAGTTCAAGACTCTTGTTCAAGAGTCTTGAAGAAGACATGTTTCTACGTATAAAATATAAAATAAATATGATCATATCAGGATAGTTTGCACTTAATCCTGTCTGAAAAGGCAGATGCTTTAATCCACTCATAAACACAGGCTCTTTTCCCTCCACTGTTAAAAAAAGATGTGTGATTAGACTGTGGCTAGCAATCCCAGGGTTAAAGAAGTGTCATAAGCCCCACCCATCAGTCACAGTCCACAAAGATTTTACTTGGACTGCCCTTGGCTCTGATAGCACATCATTACTAATCTTCCAAACATTGTACACACACAATCTGGAATGCAAGGACTACCATGCAGTCTGCAAACAGACCAAAGCAAAGCCATTTGATTACTTCATGCTTGGGATACAAGGAAAAACAAAAAGAGCCTTCAGCCAGGAAAAGACTAAAGCCTAAAGTCTACCTAAAATCACATATGAAATTAATTCTGCTTTCTGGAAATGCTCATTTCTGGAAACCTCACAGTGGTCTCCTGGAACCAAAGAACACATAATCCATCTTAGGCACTGAAAGCTCCCTTACCTTTCACAGTTCACAGAGAAATCTATTAGGCCATAGTTACAATATATCGACTATACAATTTATTTTTTTTCTTTAACAGGACAAAAAGCTATAAAAAAGAAAAAGAAGCTTTTAAAATAATATCTTTCCCCTTTCTTTTTTCCCCTTTCCACTTGTTTTTTTCATAGAGGATTTGACATGTCACACAGTCTTTTCCAGTAAGCTGATCAATTGTCAAAAAATATATAGCCTCAGGCAAACTTTATCAATCAGCTCATGCTGAACTCAGCCCAGGAGAAAGGTAATACTCCTGAAAGAATGACATAATTTGTCTTGATTTTTCTCACAAGCACAGTTGTATCCTTACAAGTGAGTCACATGCTTGTAAGAAGCAAGAAAACTTCTCAAGACACCTGTGATTAAAAAAAAAAAGAAAGCCCATTGATAAGGACAGGCAGGAGAAAGGTAAGACAGAATCCAAAGGGAAAAATTAAACATGAGTAGTTCCAGTTCAATAAAATTCTAAGTAATTAAAAATAAAAGTAAAGAGAAATATCAGGAAAGTACAAATTCCTCTGCCTTTTCAGAGGATGAGGTTGAACTGCATGTTCCCATCACTCCAAAGTTACCTTAATTTCCAGTCTTCTGAGTTTCTGGGATTTGTCTCTTCCTTTTGTATGGAAGCTACTTTAGCTTCCATACAAAATATATATTCCATGAATATATAAAAGGCAAAGCAATAAGAATTCAGTTCAAATGCAAGTTACCTCCCCCTAAGTCTGACTCTGGTGAAGGTTTCACAAGATCAGTGATTATTTTTCTTTCTCTTTTTTTTTTTTTTTTTTTTTTTGAGTAAACATGTAAACATAAAAATTCCTTCAATTCTCAAAATATTCACATAAAATTTGGTTTGGGTTAAGCATAAACAAAATGAACAATGATCAGAAGCAGTTATTTGGCTGAAATGTTTGCTTCCAGATGAGCTTTATAATATCTCCAGCTAAACTGTCTGTCCTTTCCTAGGATATGATTAGAGGGCAAAGTACTAAAAGTCCAACTCTTAAGTGAATGGCCCATGCAGGGATTGAGTCCACAATCTTGGTGTTATTAACACCATGCTCTGACCATCTGAGCTGATCTCATTTCAGATGGCTAAGGATCCATCCCACAGAGTACTGCCCAGCTCCTGTGCTTGCAGAGCTTTCTTGACTGCACCAAAAACACTGCTAGAGCTTGTGAAGGGTTAGAGCAGCCAGAAAGACGCAGCTCATTGGGTCTGAAGGGTGCAGAACACACCAGGAACCTCCATCACCTCAAGGGAATGGCCCCAGTTACACAAGTTACAAACAGCTTTGCCATTGTCCAGGCAGTGAGAACAGATCCCCTTTTGATGCACATAAAAGCTGGATAACAAAATATGTAAGTGATACAATAAATTGCTTAACAGTAACCTATTCTTCCTTTGAGGTATCTGCTTCATTATTCCAGCTGCTGGTGAGTTAATGCTGGGAAACATGAGGATTGGTGGCCTGTGACATTTTATCAAAACTAATCTGACTACAGATGCTGGTTTTTAAATCCTAAATGCTTAATCCTAATATTTTAAATGTTTTTAAATTGTGTTGACAGCATCCTACAACTGTAAGCATCACAGGTTAAATACAAATATTTTTATTTTTTTTTACATTTGCAGCTCATAACACATTTCTGAAGAGTCCTAGTGTGAGGCTGCACAGAGAACCTTTCACACTCATTTCACTTGGAGCAATCCCATTACAGTATCTGGCCCCCTTTCTGGATGTGGCTCTGAATGACTTACTTTGAGCCATTCAAAACATTTGTGGTAGACCTAGGTGTTGAAAGTAGCTCTCACAAGGGCTGATCCAGAGCTTATTTAAGTCAACAAAAGTCTTTCCAATTGATTTCAATTAATTTCTGAACAGGTTCTGAATCTCAGGGCACTGCCCTTGCTGTGGCAGCATGCTTTTTATACTGCTCATTTTATACACCTATCATATTTCTTCCAACAATTCTTTCCAAATTAAATTGCCTTAGGGTGCAAGGGAACATTTCAGAGAGATGAGGGACTGTAAGCTATCTTATTCTCATTGAAATCAATGTGACTTGGATACCTATCTGCAATGTGTGTCATTTAAAATTTTCCACTTAATCAGGTCAGACCTCTCCGCAATGCTTTTCCCCATTTTTATTTCTTTTCTTTTCTGTGGATCACTTTTGCAGTCTTTTCTGATGTATAATGGGAAGAAGACAGGAGGTCTTAGCACAGATGGACACTAAATATTGCTGAGAGATTGATACATGAGAAGTCTATCTGGGAAAGTACAGTTACAAAAAAAAAAAAAAAAGAATTATTAAAAATGAATTAAATTGGTTATTAGCTCAGTTAAGATGCGATCCTCCAGTTTTATCCTCTGATTCCAGTAGCACACCAAAAAAAGCTGGCCTGCTGCCATGATAAAATAGGCCTATCATTTTCCAGTGGTTTAAATATGGGTCAAAACATTTAATCAGACAATATTAATTTATTTTAGTATTCCCTGGGGAAACCCACGGTGACTTTAACAGAGAACCCCTTCTAGCTTTTGAAACAAAGAAGAAATGGAAGGACATCCACTGTGATTTATTTTCTCTGGATGATCAGTGGAGAAATTGGATATGCATGACACATTCATTTAGTCCTCACTTTCCTTTGATGATTAGGGCTGAATTTTCATTCTGGTATATGGGGATTTGTGTGTGTCACTCCAAACAACTTAGTATCATACATCTAAGTCCAAATGTAACTTTCTAAGAGTGAAGTCCAGAGACAAGAATCTCCAGTGTAAGTGGACAAAATAGAATATTGCAATAGCATGCAAGTAATACTTATGCTCTAACATTGAAGCCTGAGCCTCACAAAGGCTTGACTGAATTTGTAATTAAGATCCTTTCCCTAGCTTTGGTGAAAAAGCACATTGGAAATATGTGCAGGCATCAATGTAATGAAATCTATAAAAATTGATTAGCCATTTCAAAACATCTGTTACTTGGTCCTTTGCACACTATTGCAAATAACCTCAATAATGAGGTGTGACCAATTGCTTTATAGTGGGAACATTGCAGCCTCAGGCAAGGGAGGCTGAAGAGGTCTAGCTGTAGCTCAAACTGATTGCAGTGAAATGCTGGGTTTGTGTAGTTCGGTGCTGGAATTTCATTTGTTTATAGCAATCATTTGTTTAATAATCTAACCTTTTAAAAAAACATCAGAATGAGATAGAAATATGAGCAACAGTTTTTCCAAAAAAATCCTTTACCATTTGGGATTACTTGGCATTCACCAAAATAAAGAAATTCTATGGAACTAAGCTAATGGAACGAAGAAAAGAAAGCTATATAATGGATTATAAATGTTTGTAATTGCTTCTTGCAAATCCAGAGGCAATTTGAAAGGCTATTGCTGTGGCATAATATTTTCCAGTTTCCATTCAGTCCCAATGTCAAGTGATACAAGCAATAAAACTCTCCCTTACCTTCCCCTGTAAGACTATTCCATACATCACATTGTGAGCAAGTTTTATTTTTGGACTGTGATGAACACCTCACAAGATCAGCCCAGTAGCAAGGCACCAAGCACGTGGTGGTGATACATCACATGGATTCAAAAACACTGCCTTCCACCACTGCAGCAGCAGCTGCAGCCATTGAAATGAACACATAATTAAAAACACAGCACAATTGCATTACTGTTTAAAGCCTAAAGAAATATAATTCTCACTAAATAATCACACTGCACTCAGATACTAAACATCTGGTGGATCTATTTTAAGATTAGACATGTAGCACCCCTGGACAGGTCTCAGCACTAGAGGAATCAGATGCAAGTGCTCACAACCACACGTGCCCTGCAAGAATGAGAAAGACTGACCTTGAATGTGCTGAGCTGGACCCAGAAAAAGAGAGGTGGCAACAGCAAGCAACTCAAACTTTGAGGATGCAGCAGCTGTGCAGCTGCCTCAGCTTCATTTGCAGATAACCATCCTTGATTCAGCTCAAGAGAGGAAGCTGATACACTCAGTATTTGAAACACCTCAAATCTTCGGTGTATATGTATTTTATGTGTAAACCCGGAGAAAGGAAAATAAAAGCATTAAAAATATAACTTTTTGGTATCCAAGGCTTGTGTCTTTATGTTTAAGAAAACGGAGCAATTTCACTCAGGTGGAAAAATGCCATGGCTTTGTTTCAGCTGGGAAGCTTCAAAGAAAATGCTTGAGGGAAGTGAGAGAAGTGCAAAAGTTTTTAATAGTCATTGTTATGCGGAAGGAGTGAAACAGAGAAAACATTCTCTTCTGTTATTCCTCCTTTCATAATTCCAGGCATTAGTGTTTGAAAACCTTGGCAGTGGAAGCTCCTATGCTAGCAGGAAGCCCAGACTGCAGTACACTGACAAAATTTAAATCTGATAATACACAAAATTTCCGTGCTGGGCATTTAATATTGTAATTTCCAGTCCACACAGATAAACCTGTGCTGGAAGAGGTGGAAGAATGACATAAAACAAACCCATTCCCACTGAATGGTCTGTTTCAGCTCTAATTCTGGATAACAGATTGCATAATACACTCAGGGAAGCTGTTTTTCTCAGCATCTTCACCGAATATTCCACTACAGTGGAAACTGTAGTCCTAACAACACCCTATGGGCAGACCTACAAACTGATGACAAATGCACTGTGTGGCTGCAGGCTTTCACCCAGGCTGCTCTCAATCTGTATTGTCCTCCCACAACCCAGACTATTTTCCTGACAGTCTAAACAGTGGGTCTTTTCCTCTCACCAGTCCAGCTCAAGGGCTAGAAGACAGGACTTTTGCTGCTATAAACAGGACTCCTTCAAATGGGCAACAAATAACTAGCCTTAAAACGTTTTTGGATGATCCTGATAAGATTTTTCATAAAGACATAGTTTATGGGGCTGTTATAAGGATGTCAATTTTGGTGGAAAGGAGGTTAAAACAAACAGAACACCCAAGTCCCAAACCCAGAAAAGCCATCTCAGAAACTGCAATTGGCATCCCACCAATGAACATGATTAATGGACCCTGGATACCGTTAACGTCTTGTTGCAGGAAGAACTGTTAGCCTCTATAAGTTTTATTTGACTTTAAATGTGTTTTTCAAAGAACTGGGTTTTTAGGTCAGAGCAGATATGCAAATCTCAAAATAATTTTGCTTTTTCAGCTATTAATGTACCCTACATAGTTTTATTTTGGATTTTATTAATTTCCCTGCAAATTCTACAATTAGATCAGTTAAATGGCACATTTTGTATGAATTATTACACTGATAGGGGTTGAAAGCACTTGGCCCACAGGCTTGTATCTCACTGTATACCCAAGGCCTCTGATAATCCTTCAGAGGTACACTGTGCATCAAATGCTGCTTCACTAGAGCCATACTTCCTCAATCTGCTTACCAAAAATCTTTCAAGGCAGCCAATAGCTGTGTGGTAAGCCATGCTAATCAGAGGTAGCAAAGGACCAATAAACGACTGAAGAAGACATCCTTGGCAAAACTCATCCATGCTTGCCTGCAGCTGAGTTCTACTGCAACTATCTTTCCTCTTTGGCTCCTTCCCTAAAAACATATAACCTAGATCAATGTGTAAGAAATTACAGAAGGGTTGAGCTCCCCATAGAGATATTTTCATCATCTTACAAAAAGAACCATGAAAAACTATGTATTTTTCCAACTCCTTTTTAGGGCAGGGTTGTTATTTGCGTATTCCATCTAAATGGTTTTGAAGTAAAATTATTTGTTTAAATGTAAGAATTAATTCATTTTAACTCTTTAAAAAACTGCAAAACAAACAAAAGAAAACAAAACACTTAACAGGTGAAGTACAGACAGCAGAATTACCTGACTGTACATCCCATTAAGTTCGACTTCTATCTCTTATCACAGTTCACAGCTTCATCTTCTATATCCTTATCCAGGCATAGTGCTGCTCTCTTTTGCAGTAAAGTGACATGAAAACAGCTGTTAGCATTACAACCACACATGACAATTTCCAATTAATTTCAAAATTAAATAAGCTCTTTTCCAGTAATTCTTTGATGTCATCTAATTTTCTGCCAGTTGTTAAAGTCAGAGAGACAGAAATCTCAAAGTAATCTGAATTTTATGGTTCTGAACTTCTCTCCCTTACAAGGAGCAAAAAATTTTTTGCTTTGGTCTTTGAGGGATTATTAGTACAGAGGAACTATTATAACAACAATGAAGGGAATGTTTTATTTTCATTTCAACTCATAAATCCATCTCTGCTCTTGAAACTATGATCCCTTATGCTGGGGCATACACTGAGAACTGATCAAAAATTGTCTCTAAGGCTCATTAACACTTCAACGCTACAAAAAGCATCAGGAAAACACATGAAACTTTTTATCAGTCACTCCACCACCAAACCCCCATTTCCTCACAGTGAGATTACATGCAGTGGATTTATTTTCTCTTCCTGTAGTTCACTCCATAATAACTCCCAGTAAAGTCACAGAGAGAGACTTAAGGGTTTTTTTTTTAAAGCTAAATTCCAGCAGGAAGAACCGAGGCTATGTCTGTGCTGCCTATTACAAGAGGGCCAAAGCTCCCTAGAGCTCCTCTGCCATTAGTAGATGGCAGATCTACTAATTCCCTACAGTGTGGTCCTACAAGTGCCTGTGAATGTACACTGGGCCACATGTGAAGGGGTGGCACAGCATCCAGCTTCATGTGCCAAGGCAGGCAGCCATGTGGCCTCACGTACCTGTGACTGCTCTAAGACCAACCTTTTAGTGCAGCATAAGCAGGACCTCATCTCAGAGCAGTAATCTCATCTGTTAATAGACAAACACAGCTGAGCCTGGGCAGGCTCTGATCTTTAGAGGAGGCTGGACTCTTCTCAAGGGGTAAGAACAGCTATTTGTATTTGCAATTATCAGCCTTCAGCATCAACCTCTTCAGCTACTTCACATCCAGAGAGGACTGCTTGGGCCCACAAGAAAAACCTCTGAACGCTGCAGCCAAAACAGGTGCAAAAACATGTAGTCAAGCTGAAAAAAAAAAAAGAGCTGAAAATTAACAACCCTCTGGAGTTGTTGGGTTAAATTATATCATGCATAGAATTCACATAGCACTACACATAACTTTTCCTTGTCAGAGGTAATCCTGATCTAGAATAACACGAGAGTTATTTATTTTCCAGGCATGCTACGTCTGCTCTGTCATCTACTTTCTACATGGAGGAATTTCCTCCTCTTCCTCATTGCTGGTCAACTTCATTAAATCACATTCCACCAATCCCTCTGCTAGCTTGGTATCACCTCTTCCAGAGGTGGTAATGGAAATCCACAAAGCTCTGTAACGTCTTTTAGTCTCATCACTGCATGGCAATTTCAGGTTCTGATTGAGAAGTTGTTCCTGGCCCTTTTGGGTACATAGAACTGCTTTGAAATATGGTTTGCAGGCACCTTTAAAGGCCAAAAGGGAAGCATCAAACAAAAAGAACTTACAGCCTTCTATTTAAAAACAAAGCCCCATCATTTCCATACACTCTCACTTTTTTTTTTTAATACTTGACTCATCATCTTGTAACAGCACTGGCAATACTACAGAAGTCACTTCCCTGAGGAGCTGCCCATGCACTTGATGGCTGCCAACAGCAGTAAATAAACTTTCCAGTCTTATGCTCATGCAAAAGATCTAGCTCTTGACAAGAAACCTTCCAAAAGATTCCCCTAGTGCTTGCAGACATTTTATTGTTACATAAAATCTTTTGCATCTACACACTTGATCTAAAACACAATTAAACTCCATAGAAAAATTCCCATTAATCTCATAAATCTTTGGATCAAGTTCTAGAGTTACTAGTGCTAGCCCAATTTATAAGGGTTGACCTTCATACCTGTTTGGCTGCTGATACTTATGTCACTATCATATACTTTTATTTCAGGCAAGGAGCACAATGGGATAAACCACGATAATTTTACTTGGCTTTCTATTTTTGTTTCATCAAAGCTTGCCTCTGTCTCAGTATGTCTAAGTGCATCTGCATTTAACATTTTAAGACCTATGTTCAGTTCATTTGGTCAAGTGTCCTCTGCCATTTTAGATGCAAACCAGGAAGTGTCTCATTTATGATTTGAAAAACTAGTCCACTTGTTAACTTTGGGCTTAAATAAAGTACCCTGCAAGCACTGGCTCTGTGCATGAAGGAAGTTCCTATTATCACATTCTTAATGTTACTGTAAACAGATCCCTCCTCCTTGCATGGCATCTCAGGCCAGTGGGTGCATAACATACTGGAGAATTACCCTGGGAAACTGAGGACTGAGCCCTCGAGGGCTCAGCAGCGAAGGTCACAGACCCAGCCTCCAGACCTTGACCTTGGCTGACTGTGTGACAGTGCCAACATACCAGGCAAGAGGAGAGTGGGGGAGAAGGGTCAGCAGACAGATGGCCTAATTCATCATACACCAGAAATAAATAATAAAAAAAAGCTGTTCCAAGCTTTACATGCACAGCAATGGTTGTAAATTCCACAACTGTGGAGACCTGCCAAGCCATTATACACATATCCATACTGCAGTCATTGGGTATAGCTCCTGAAAGGTGAGCTCAGGAGAAATTGCAAAGCATGAAGGGCGCTGAGATCTCAGGAAATTGGTTCATAAAATGATCATCCAAGCCCTAGTGGAAAAACAGCACACAGAAGTTAAGGACTGATGTGACATGTCAGGTTATTTATAAACAATGCACTTATGCAATGCATAAATTGTCTGTGGATGTGATACTAAGTATTTTATACTTAATAAACTTCTTCCAATAATAATTTTTTAAATTTATTTTGCTCTTAATAGTTTCCAAATTGGAGCTATTTGATGGCATGTCCTGCTAAATAAAGTTGTCTTGTCACCAAGCAGAGTACCTCACAGGAGCTGGCTAGGCTGGTGTTGCCACTTTGGGAGGATGGAATGCAAACCAAACAGCGCTTTTCCCAGATCATGTACTTTGGTTTCTCTGCAGAAAGAGCAATAGAGCATCCTGGATGCTGTCTTTCAAATTTTGGCATCTAGAAATGCACAGAGAGAAGGAAATAGAGTGGCATCAGTAATGGTATTTG